TTAATATTAAACTTATACATATCATGGAGTTTTATTTAGCTATAAAGAAGACTGAAATTATGTCCATTTGCAGAAAAATGGATGGAATTTGAGAGCATTATGTGAAGTGAAATAAGCCATACTCAAACTTCTTCAGGAAGTTAAGAGTCATGTTTTTCTCTCATATGTGGAAGCTAAAGGGAAAAGGAATGGGGTGTCAAGGTGTGTGTAGTGGGGAACGTTTCATGAAAATAGAAGGGAGACCAGTGGAGTAGATGAAAAGGAACAGGGAGAAGAAAGGGAGGTAGTGGGGAATGAAATTGACTATTTTTTTTATTGTTGTTGTTATGTGCATGTACAAATCTGTAACAGTGAATCCAACTATAATGTATAATTACAATGCATTGATAAAAAGAATTTTTAAAAAGATATCTATAGATAGAGCCTTAATAAATAAATTTAGCAAGGATTCTTATTAGAAGATCACTATTTGATTTTAGGAATCAGTCGTACTAACCACAGACAGAAAATAAAATTTAGAAGGTTACATTTATGTTAGCAATTCAAAAACATTAAATACTGAGGATGAACTTTATAGAAAACTGAAAATTACTGAGGTAAAACAAAGAAGATATAACTAAATAGATGTATAATTTTCATGTGGAAAACTATTGTAAGTGTGGTATTGGCATAAGAAGAGACCCAGAGCAGAATTAAGTGGTGCTAGATCAATGGGGAAAAATAAAACAACAAGCACATATTGTGTATAAAATTAATTTCAGGTGGATTTAAGACCTAAATATAAATAATAAAATAATGAATTTCTCAATTAGACCCCACCCCCCATAAAACAGAATAAATTTTAAGGAAAGATGGATGGGACTGAGGGTGTAGCTTCTATCCTTGGAACAAAGACATAGAAATAATCACCCTTACAACAAAGTAGAGAAAAAAATGAAGTGACATTAAAATACGAGGAAAGAAAGATAAATAAGAAACTGTAAGTATCTCAGTCAGAAAAGTGGGGAGGGGGCTGGGAATGTGGCTCAAGCGGTAAAGCGCTCGCTTGGCATTCGAGGCACACTGGGTTTGATCCTCAGCACCACATAAAGATAAAATAAAGATGTTGTGTCCACTGAAATAAATATTAAAAAATTATGTCTTAAAAAAAAAGAGGGGAGGACTGAGGATGTATCTCAGTGGTAGAGCATTTTTGTAGTGTATAAACTGCAAATAAAGTTGCACATGATTTCAGTATGTCTAGAGACATAACTAGCTCCACCCCTAAGTTCATTTAAAAAAGTAGAAATTGTAAAGATTAAGAACAGATATTAATGCAGTGAAAAACAAGACTTTGTGAAAAGAAAATCACACGATATATGATTCTACTTATAGTTAGCCCAAAACAGGAAATCCTAATAGTAATGATAGAAGTCCACATAGCAGTTATCTAGAACAGGAAATGTGGAAGGATTATCAATTAACTTTGAAGAATGATTGTGAGAGTGCACAAGTAGGGCTCTGGACTGCTGGTACTGTAGTGTGTCAGCAATTCTCAGACTTTGATAGGTCTGTGGATGTATGGATAACCAAGACCTTTATAGGGATTCCATGAGATCAAAATTGTTTTCTTAGTAAAAGATATTTTATTTGTCTTTTTCTTTGTATTTGCATTTTATTGCTGTGGCAAAAGAGATGGTGTGTACGCCTGATGGCATTTTAGGCATCCATTAAGGCAGTAACATGTAACTATACAGTCATTGTATTCTTTACTGCTGTACACTGAGTTTTTAAAAAATACGCTCACTTTACTTTGGAAAAGTAGTTTTTTTTCCTTAATATTTATTTTTTAGTTGTAGCTGGACACAATACTTTTATTTATTCTTATGTGGTGCTGAGGATCGAACCCAGGGTGCGCACATACTAGGTGAGTGCTCTACCGCTGAGTCACAGCCCCAGCCCTGTAAAAGTAGTTTTATTGAGTTCACATCTTTTTAGTATACCATGGGATGACATGGGAGGATGTAAGAAGCATTTCTACTACATACTGGCATGCATTGGTTGCTTTTCTTAAAAAGCATTTTTGAGATTTGAGTTGGAAGCTCAACTACCTACTGTGTTCATAGATCCCTATTTTTACTTGAAAGAACAACTGACAATGATTACTTAATTTGAATACTTTGTCAGATACTTTCTTGAAAATGAACAAATTGAGTCTGGTCATTTCAAGGAAAACAGTTGATCATGTCTGTTTCCTTTGGTAAAATTTGAGCTTTGGGGGTTTGTGGGGGGGAGAGAATTTGGGGAGATATTCGCTACAGTGAGTTTGATTCCCAGTTTTTTTTTTTTTTTTTAACATTTTTTAGTTGTAGGTAGACACCTGTATTTTATTTTTATGCGGTGCTGAGGATCAAACCCAGTGCCTCACGCATGCTAGGCAAGCACTCTACCTCTGAGCCACAACCCCAACCCTTGATTCCTAGTTTTTAAAAAGATTTTTCTGATGAGATTGGGATGATATTAAGAAGACTAATTTTTGATGTTGTAAGATGAAATATATCAACATATGGAAGGTCTACATAATTTGGCAAATCATTATTTTTAAAATAACCAATATATGATGTTATAAAATTATGTATGGATAACATGTATGAGGACATGAATGGTGTGCATATACTGTGTATACAACCAGAAATATGAAAAATTGTGCTCTATATGTGTAATATGAATTGTAATGCATTCTGCTGTCATATATAACAAATTAGAATAAAAAATAAATTTTAAAAAATGCATGGATAAATGGTCCATTCAGAGTACAAGCAGAACAGTATATTTTAATGGAGCAGAGCATAAAAAATTTATCGCCATGGTTTCACATTGCACATTGCAGTTTATCTTTTAAAAATTGCCACTTGAGCCATGTAGTAGCCATACTTGTAATCCCAGTGACTCAGGAGGCCGAAGCAGGAGGATTGCAGGCCAGCTTGGCAACTTAGTGAGACCCTGTCTCAAATGAAAATTAAAAAGGACTGGAGATGTAGCTCAATGTGAAGCCCCAGTACTGCCAAAACAAACATTTGTTGTGTGTTGGGAGTATCAAGGGAGGGTATCCACAGTTATATGTAAAGTTGATTAAAACATTCCTCTCTTTACCAAGTTTTCTTTCTGTACTTCCACTCAAACAGTACCCTGGAACAGATTAAATGTGGAAGCAGCTACGAGAATTTCACTGTTTTCTATTAAGCCAGACAGTTAGATTTATAAACATGTAAAACGGTTCTACTCTTTGCATTTTACTTATTTATTGGGGAACTTATTTTCATATTAACATGTAAATTGGTCTTGTAATTTTTTTACATGAATTAATTTAGAATTTTTAAAGTTATACTTTCAGATACTCCAGTTTCTGATAGATGTATTAATATGAACAAAACCCCCTTGGCTCCTTAATTTTTAAGACTGAAGAAAGAGGTAGGAGATCAAAGTTTGAGAAGTACTAGTCTTTACTTTGATCTGGGTAGTGATTGTGTGGGATATACATCTTGCAAAAAATAAAATAATTTGTGCAATCTACTCTTTTTATATTGAAAAAATGTTTATGCTCTATCCAAGTAAAACAAAAGGAGTTGTCCAAAATGATGAAAAGTATTTCTGGCTTGAGTGGTAGGTAACTGAGCATGAATAGGAGAGAATGAGCAGCTGAGAAAATAACCATGGGATGTGTGAAATTTGTTGTTAATGTTTTATAGCTTTTAAAATATTCATAGAGTTCTATAGGGTTTGTTTTGTGAAATTTATACTGTAGTTATTCTCCAGAAAAATCTTGGCCCGAATTTTCTTTATTATTTTTTTCTTTTTTTCCCTAGATATTTATTTCCAGCACATGTGAATGTGGGACAGTTTGGTTTTTGCCTTCAGTATAGAGATATATGTACCTAGTTTTTCATGTGTTCAGCTTTTCTTTTTCTTTTTTTTTTTTTTTTTGGCAAATGTTAATGAGCATTGAGCATAACCCTGTTTTCAGCACAGAGAGGATGATCAGTTAAATTAGTTGGTTGCTAAATTTGAGAATCTCACTGTTTTCTATTAAGCCAGACAGTTAGATTTACTAAAATTTACTAGTAAATAACTGCATATAGAGCAGAAAGCTGTATGTTGTTTTCAGTTATTTATGGGGATTTCAAGAAGGTAATAGTCTAGTGGCAGATAAAAATTTGCTACAAATTAGTTAGAACATAGAGGCAAATTTATCAATTGTTCTCGTGGAAGAATAAGTATTAGAAGGAAAAGTGGAGATTAGCATCTGAACAGAACCTTGAAGGACATGTATGGCTAGTTTTCTGTTAGCTTTCTTTCTAATTAAAAACTACAATGATTATTATAGATCAATGACAAAAGTCTACAGCAGTTCCCAGCCCCTGCCGGTTAACCATTGTTAAGAATTTAACATCTAGTCATTCACATCTAATGTGTGCATTAGCATATTATTTTTTAAAATTAGATCACATATCTATGGTTTTATGAGTATATTGGACATTGTTTCTAATACCATCAACACTGGTGTGTATGATTTTTTTTTTAATCCTAGAGGTTTTTTTGTTTGTTTGGTGTTTTTCATGCCTAAGATTTTGATAGAACAGTGAGTTTGTTTAAAGTTTAAACAAAAATAAATGTGTACATTATAGAAATGTTTAATAGTAAAAACCTATAATCTTATTACAGGCATAATTTTTGTTAATTATTAATTAGGTTTTTTTGTTGTTAATAAATTTTGCCTGGTAAATTTAATTTATGTACTTCTAGACAGACATGACCTTTAGTTGAAGAGTATTGAGCAAATTGTTTCATGAAGAATATGGAGTTAAAAATGAGAAGCATGGAATTTGATTAATAGGAAAGACCACTGATGTTTTGTCTTCTTGTCACATGCCTGCTCAATTGTGTTTTTTGTAGAATTGCTGTAAAAGTACTTTTTATGGTAGGAACTATTTATTCAGTTGATGCTCTTCTTTTCATTCCAGGTAACATTGTACAATACTGATCAGGATGGTAGTGATAGCCCACGCAGTAGCCTTAACAACAGTCTCTCAGACCAGAGTTTGGCATCTGTTAATTTGAACAGTGTTGGGAGTGTGCATAGTTATACACCGGTAAGTGTTAGTGAGGCTGGCTTCTTTTTGGATAATCATTTAGTGCTTGAACGAAACCAAATTTAATTAAAATGCAAACAAAGAAACATCTTTCACTAATCAGTTTATTAATTTAATAAGTAGAGCAGACCTCTACCTTGGTAATGTTTTAATTTGGTACTTGTATTTTACTGAGTTAGAAAGAAATATGTGGATGGTTGTGCTGTATTAAACACTTTATCTATTCTGTGCCTAAACAAAAAAGCAATTAGAGTGGGGAAAAATATACTTTAGTGAATCATAGTTGATGATATTCTCATTTTTCTTTGGGGGGGGGGGAAACAGTGCTATAAAGGAACCTGTGTATAAGTAATGCCAGTGTGCTAATTTGTTACCTATTACATGATCATTGGATTATCTGATATTTCTTTGCAAACATCTACTACTATCCTTACAGTTGGGCAGAGAATAAAGCCTAAGAATTGCACACTACATTGTTCATCAGTATAACTTCCATCTCACCAAATAATTCCCTGTTCCAAATGAGTAAATAGGAAATATATAAAAGGAGGGACTTGAGATAGGAAAATAATGCAAGGGAAACAAAAACTCAGCAGAATTAAAGTTCACATTAAATGTAAGAAAAAACAAATTTTACTCTTCAAAATTATCTTCAGTGTTTTGGAAAAATATTATTCTCAGAATGCAGAAGAAACAGAAAAGGGAATAAAAATATGTAAAAGAAGACAATAAATAAGGAAAACTAGAATCTTAAGTGCCCGTGCTGAAGAAACCAAAAAAGGTCGTACAGAGTCAGTTTTCAGTAAGAGATCTTGAGTTCTAAGAAAAATTAGTAGGAAAAAATTTGTATTTATATACATTGTGGCAAATTTAAAAATTTGAAAAGTAATCATCCCTATAAATACCCTGACAGAAGAAATAAGTTACATATAAAGAAACACAAATCAGGCTTATCTTCAGTTCTAAGTGTTAGCAGATAATGGAGTACTGTACAGTTTTGAGGGTGTAGATTTGGAATAACAAGTGTTGTACCCACCCAAAATGAATTAATTTAAAGACTTAGTCCTGATGGAGTCATGATAGAAAAAATAACATTTGGAGCATTGATGCAAACTAAGCAAAAATTTAATGATTTTAAATTGTTAAGTACAAAAAAACTTGAGATGAATAGAAATCTAAGTATACAGAGTCCAATATCACAAAATACAACAAAAGGAAAACATTACAGAAGCATTTATAGAACTAGGTGACAAAAGTGAAAACTAACAAGTCTGATATACCTATCAGTTTAAATGGGTTAAGTTTCCCTATTGAAAGGTAGACATTGTCGACTATATTTTCATTTAATAACAAGATGTCAAGTGGTTAGGTAATCCTTAAGGAAGAGTGGTAGTGTAGTGGCTGCTGTCCTTGGGTTTGTCACAGGTCTACAAATTAAACCTGTAAAGATAGTGAATCCTCATGGAATGAGGCGGTTTTATTACTTATACAGACTATTTGAAGTCTATGCAAGACTTACTCTAAGTATATAATGAATCTGTGTAAGTAATATACAATATACAAAATGTAGTCATCATCATGTAAGCCAGATCATCATAGTATGAGTTCCCTGCATCCCACACAAAACCAGTAAATAGAAATGACAGACTACAGAAAGTACTGAGTCACTCTATAGTGGAAGAACAGATAGCTGTACCTTTCCTGGGAGACAGATGAGAAAGGTGCAAAGCTGCCCCATGGTCACCTCACACAAGACAGGAGAGCAAATGAGAATTTGCTTTGTAAGACCGCTTGTTATCTCATGTTCCAAGGTAATTAAGCTGTTCCCCTAAGGTTTAAGTCGTCCTCCCATTGTACAGTGCCCATATGGTGTGCGTGGTGACTGATAAGGTCACCAGGGTGCCAATCGTGGAGCCATTGTCCTAAATAAGATTCACATTCACAGCATGCTTTACCACTGAGCCAGTTTCAAGTATCTCCTTTGTTTTTTATTTCTTCATTTCTTATTTACCTTCAATTTCATTAAAAATAAAAATTCTTTTAGAAATGAAGAGGTAGGCATATTAAAGCTCCATGCTTTTTTGGGCAGTGCCACACATCTGCTCACAGTACTCATGGTATTTGAGTTTATTTTCTTAAAAAAATAGTTGTATAAATGAAGGAAATGTTAGGAGCTTCATAGTGTAATAGAACTTAACACCAAATTGTTTCTGTAGAAATCAAGATAATTCTACAGAAATGGAAGATTTCAGCTCTTTGGATTTCAGTGTTGTATGTTGACACTCATGTTTTCAGTTAAATGTGTCATGTAACAAACCAATTGCAATATAAAGCCACCAAGTTAGTTTTACATATATATATATAATTTTTTTTTTTTTTTAGGTGACAAACCATCCAGAACCAGTCTCTCAATCATTAACTCCTCAGCAGCAGCCACAATACAACCTTCCAGAACGAGACAAGCAACTGCTTTTCTCAGAATATAATTTTGAAGATCTTAGTGCCTCATTTCGGAGCCTTTATAAGTCAGTTTTTGAGCAGTCACTTAGTCAGCAAGGTGAGTTTTTTCAAATATCTTTTCTGTAACATGAATTTTATGGAGAAATGGTCTTTTAATTATTTTCACACAACAGTGGTTGTAGTTCCTTAATTTTAGATATTATTATTACATTCAGGATCAGATAATTTTCTTTTGCCTTTTGTGCCGTCATTATGCTCTGTATGTATTTAGTCTGTGTATATTTAGTCAGGCACAGGGATGGCAGATAAATTTCATCTTTTATGCCAACTTTAGTTGGTTACTAAAGTGTCCTGGAGCACTAAGTTGACAAATTCTGACTGTGTCTATACCATCTGGGAAAGACTGTCATGATTAATTAGTGATATTTGGAATGTGAAGTGTTTGGTGAATGAGGCACCACAAGAATTGATGGGCCTTGCTTCTGTTCTGACTTTCATTAACAAAGGGGTATCTCTTGGACTGTAGTAGCACGAAGTTTGTGATTTTGTGAATGCTACTTATAAGTGAACATACTAGCTAGTGGTAGATCTGAATCATTTTACACAACATACTAAAATCAGATTTTAATCCTGAAAGGTAGTATATAGTATTGCATTCCCACCAGATGTTAGATTATTGCTATAATGTGTTCTTGTCACATTAATAACTGGTTTAATTTTAGTCAGAGTCATTTGTTAGAGTCAAAATGTTGTATTTTTTCCCACATAGAACATTAGTCAGAAATTGTTGGGAACTATACTACTGAAGCATTTCCCAGTTAATTGTCAGGTTAACTATTTATACCCTATGTTATATTCCTTTCCTGTTGCTATAACAAAATAACCCAAGAGAGAGTAATTTATAAATAGAAATTTATTTTTCACAAGTTTCTGAAGGCTGAAAAATCCAAGATGAAGGTAGATTGGTATCTGGAGAAGGATTGTACTTCATAGATGGCACCTTCTAGCTGTGTTCACACATGTTGCTGAACACTGCACTCTCACATGGCAGAAGAGAGAAGGGCAAAAAGGAATTAGCTAGTTTCCTTGAGCTCTTCTAAGTACTAATTCCTAACCACCTCCTAAAGGCCCTAATATTGTATATCACCTTGGGGGTTGAGTTCCAACATGAGTTTTGAATGAAGTATACATTTAAACCATAGCACCCCAACTCAGAGTTTACCTGTTGATAACAATGAACAAAACAGACAAAAGTCCTTGTCCTTATAGTTTACTTTTTAATGCTTATTGTCAGATATAAAAGTTAATGTTATATACTAATGTTATACATTAATTGATGAATATGATAGCTTGTATACCAATTGTATTTTTGTTCAGTAGTTTTGAAGTAAGAGTCATGTTTTCTCAAATTTTGTCTTAAATGTTTTATCTATGAGAGTATAAAAAGAACTAATGTAAGACTTTTCTAAACATATCCAGCCTTCATAATATAATGGAAAAATACTGATTTTGAAATAATAATGGTGATAAATTCTGAAGTCCATAGTTCCATTTTATCACACTATTTTTAGAAAGGAGCATTGTTAGGAATTCTAGGTTCTAGTGCAGGTTATACCATAATTCCACCTCTCCATACCTCAGGATCCCCATTTATAAAATGGGGATCGGACTAGTCAGGGGTTTTTATATTGTTCTCCTCAGAGCCCTTGGCTTTTATAAAGGTTTTAGAAGGTGAAGGAGGAGAAATGTGCAGATGGAGGGGGAAATCCAGCAGCTTCCTTCCCTGACTTCAGAAAAAGCAACTTTGGGTTTCTGGGGAGATATTTTGCTTTGTTTTACTTTATTTAAAAATAATTTGAGATTAAAAATATGATGTAGGTCACCTATCAGTTCTATCACAATTTTAGAATGTTAGAATTTTATTAGAAATAAATTTTTTATTTCATCTTCCTATGTAATAACCCTTTGGTTCCCCATAAATGACAATTTTCCAAGGCCAAGATAGAATTTTTTTTTTTTCTTCCTGGTCCTGGGAACCAAAGCCAGAGCCTCATGCCTGCTGGGAGAGCACTCTGCCATTGATCTACACCCCCAGCCCCAAGAATTTTTTAACTCTTCTACCATCAAAACCTTAACTTGTCAGGTTTTGTTTTGTTTTGCTTTCACTGGGCCCAGGTACAGTTTTATTATTAACTAGAAATATGAGAACAATTTTTATCATTGTTAAAACTTTTGATTCTTTTTATTCACTGATAAATATCTTGTGAAAAATTTTTTTTCCTCCAGTAGAGAATGCTTTATATTTGATGCAGTAAAACATTGTATGGACTGTCCTTTGGGATATGAAAATAGCCTAGTTATGTAGAACCAAATGTTGCTGAAAGATTTACTAACTACTTCAAACCAGACATGCATTATTTAACATTAGGCACTTCTGACCTAATCATTTTCATAGCAACTAACATTTACTGAGCTCTTCTTGCATTTGCACCAAGACATGTAATCCTCACAACTCTTTCAAGTGGGTACTATTACTGTGCCCATTTAGAGGTGAGATAATTGTGGTTCATAGAAGTTAGTAAACGACAGTGGAGAAGTTTTGATCCTTTACTTTCTGGTAATATAAAGTATGCAGTTTTTTAGCCCCTTAACTCCATGTACTTCAAGAATATTCCATAGAATAATGAAGAAGAGTGGAGGTGGCTCTTTTAGGGACGTCAACCACTTAGGGTATAATGTTTTTGGAGTAGTCAGAGATAAAATATATGAAATAACCAGGCTTTATTTCTCACCTTATCTTCAAAGTCTTGATATTCATACCCATAGAGAAACATCCTGAATGTGACTCAACACCTTTCCATGTTTTCCCTAGTATTTACTCAGCTTTGAAGACTTAACTCAGACACTATGTTTCCAAGGAAGACTTCTCTCTGTATCTCTAGCCCATTCTTAGCTAAATAGACAAGGAGCTAAGCTATTGTAATCCTTTGTGTACTTTTGCTTAAGTACTTAAATCCTGGGTCATAATCTTGTTAAATGTCTTTCTCTCTCTAAACCATGTACTACTCAGGGCAGGAAATGCTGTTTCTTACTCTTATCAGTAATCCCAGAGCTTGGTGTATGAGATGTTCTATAAACACTTGTTAAACAGAACTACTGTTGCTTCCTAAGACAGGAATGCTTTGCTTTCTAAAAATTTTGCAGATGTTTGACATACAATTGAAATCTGACCGTGAATGATGTTGCTCTCTTTGACTGTTTGTAGGTTTGATGAGCATCCCTTCTGAATCTTCCCAGCAGTCCCACACTTCGTGTTCCTATCAGCACTCTCCTAGCAGTACAGTGAGCTCTCACCCACACAGCAACCAAAGCAACCTGACCAACAGTCATGGCAGTGGCCTCAACACCACGGGCAGTAATTCTGTTGCACAAGTCTCACTGTCCCACCCGCAGATGCACACACAGCCATCTCCACATACACCCCATCGACCGCATGGTTTACCACAGCATCCGCAGCGTCCCCAACACACGGCACCACACCCACAGCAACACAGCCAGCTCCAGTCCACTCACCCTCAGCACCCCTCTCCACATCAACACATACAGCACCATCCGAATCATCAGCATCAGACGTTAACACATCAGGCACCCCCACCCCCACAACAGGTATCCTGTAATTCTGGTAAGTTTTCATCTACTGGCATGTATATGGCTAACTGTGAATTAAGATCTGTTCTTTGTTATTTGGGCCTCATGTAGCATTTATTTCAAACCCCTTTCACTTGTCTCCTTTTGTGTTTACTTATTGTAATTCTATAGTTGCAACTGGTTTAACCTATAAGTTGACCTGGAGATTTTCCCAGTTTGAATTTACTGTGGACCTAGGCACGATGGGTACGCCTATAATCCTAGCAGCTCGGGAGGCTGAGATAGGAGAACCGTGTGTTCAAAGCCACCCTCAACAACTGCAGGGCGCCAAATAACTCAGTGAGACCCTGTCTCTAAATAAAATACAAAATAGGGCTGGGGCTAGGGCTAAGTGGTTGATTGAGTTCAATCCCTGGTACCAAAAAAAAAAAAAAAAAGAATTATACTATGGTATCATAGCCAAACTGAATAACCTTCATAGGCTTATTCTTTTGGCCTCTGCTTCCATTGAGACTTTGAGAAGAAAATGGAAGCCGGGTGTAGTGGCACATGCCTGCAATTCTAGTGATTCAGGAGGCTGAGAGAGGAGGATCACAAATTTGATGAGCAACTTAGCCAGACCACAACGGTGGGGGTCTGGAGGTATAGCTCAGTGGTACAGTGCCTCTAGGTTCAACCCTCGGTACCCCCAAAAAAGAAGTGTGTGGGATGAATAGTCTTTCTAATCTCTTGTGATGCAGTGTGATTCTAAAAGAACAGGTTTGTGTCAGAAAGACCTATGTTTTAATCCTCAGTATGGCTGTACCCTTGGGCAAATTACTTAACTTCTTCTGTCTTGTTATTAGCTTGCCTATAAAAATGAAGCTAAAATTCTGTGGTGTACAATGTCATGAGAATACAGATGCAAAATGCCTAGACTGACACTTTTCATATAATTATTCATGCCTATACCTCCTCTTCTTATTGTTGCCAAGTATTTGATCTCACAGGATGAAAGATTGTAAAGGAAAAAAACATTATATCCTGCCCCCACTTCCTGTCCCCCCAAATCTGTTGCTCTTAAAATAAATCTTCATGAACTGAGTGTGGCAGCGTATACCTGTAATCCCAACTGTTCAGGAGGCTAAGACAGGAGGATCACAAGTTAAAGGCTAGTATGGGCAATACAGCAAGACACTTGCTCAAAAGAGAAATTTTAAAAAGGGCTGGAAATTCAGCTCAGTGATAGAGGAGCACTCCTCTATTCAATCCCCAGTACTGAAGGGAAAAAAAGAAAGGTATGTGTTGATGGTTTCTGGCAAGGTACCTCACTGACATTGTTCAGAAGCCAGACAGTCTTTGCACTATGGAACTCCAAGGGAGTGCCATGGAATGGACTACAAGGTGAATGCAAAGTACAGGTCCTTTCAGGCAGTGGTGGCGCATGTCCATAATCCTGGCTGTTTGGGGGCTTTGAGGCAAAAGGATTACAAGTGTGAGGCCATCCTGGGCAACATAAGAAATATAAAGGGCCTAAGGATAGCTCAGTGTCAAGATTGCTTGCCTAGCAGGCACACAGGCCCTGGGTTTGCTCTCTAGCAAATACATGTGTCAGGTCCTTCCCTCAGCTTGTCTAGCTGATCTCTTACCAACTACTGAGATTTTTTTTTAAATTTATTTTATTGGTTCTTCTTAGATATACATGACAGTAGAATGCATTTTGATCAAATTATACAAGCATAGGATATATTTTCTGATGAGATCTTTGTCTTAGAAGGAATATTTCTAAATACTAGACAGTGCTGGTTCTTATCCACCAGTTAAAAATTGATCATCGTTTTAGGCACTTGGACTGTTGTAAAGAAAATGAGCTTAGATATAGTCTCTTATAAGTTTTGGGGGAAGAATTATGAGATAAGGTAAAGAAATTCAAACAGATGTTTAAGTATTTTATTTGACTTTCTTTTTCTGATTAGTAATTCTATGTTCTAAAGATAAAATAAAAATAGTGAACTGTGTCAGTGGCACCTGCCTGTAATCTCAATGACCCAGGAGTCTGAAGCAGAAGAATCACAAGTTTGAAACCAGTCTCAGCAACCCAGTGAGACCCTGTTTCAAAATAAAAAGTGTTGAGGGTGTAGCTCAGTGGTAGAGCACCCCTGGGTTCAGTCCTCTCCCAAAATGCAAATAGTTCTTGCTTTAGTGGAATATTTCCTAAACATCTTGAAATTATTTTTAGATATACACCTAGAGAAAAAAATTATATAAAAATCAGCATTTAAACTTCTTTAGGGTCAAGTCAGTTACTATTGCCTGCCTTTAAATACCAGTATGTTTTTCAGAAATTTAAGCCTTTCCTTAATATGATTATGGGGATTGACTAATGAGTAGAGATTGGACATCAGTAGAAGTCTGTGGTACTCTGTCATACCTGCCTTTTCATTTAGTCTAATGATTGCCAGGAAATAAAAAGGTACTGTTAGAGCTGAGAACAATGTATGATGTGCCTTTGGTAGTCTACTAGCCAGTAGTAGCTTGCCCAGGAAGAAATAGACTTCACTGTGGGAAGGAATAATTACTACAGTTGGGACAACAATTCATCCCTGTGAATGACTCATTTTTGTTTGAAAGAATGGACTAAGCAGGTTGTCTTAAATAGGGAGGAAACAAGAAAGGAATAGAAGTGGTTTGAGTGCTCATTATGTACTAGGCAATATCTCATTATCCTCCCAAATCATCACATTTTATAGATAGGAAAAGTACAAGAAAAGAAGTAAAGTAGTTTCCTCAATATCACATTACCATTAAGTGGTATAAGTGGTTTTTATATCCTGACCTGCCTGACTTTGAAGCCTGTGAGCGGTTATTTTAAAAGGAATAAAATCAGTGGACATTTACTAAGTTGAATGGGTAGGGTATGCTCCCCTACTATCTCTGCATAGGTTATACTATTAGTATGGCTTATCAAATAAGCATATATCAAAGGAGCCCTCCTCGTGTATGTGAGGGTGGAATCAGTCATGGCAAGAATGCCCTAGTTCCTAGCATACTATTGTTTCAGTGGGCCTTTGTGCTACTCTGATCTTCTGATTAAGAGATCTGGATTCTAGTACTGCTTTGGCTATCTATTACCTAGGTGACTTTAATCATAAAATTCCTTTGAATCTTGGTTTTCTTATCTGAAAAGTTCTTAGACTAGAGGATCTGAGTATGAGAGACTTGAATGTTTGTGGCATTAATTAAATTCTCTTCCTCCAACAAATTTCTCCCTAAATTTATGGGTTCTTGAGGGAAGGGTGGGACATGTTGTCTCTGGTTCATTGTTTATTTTTAAAAATCCATATTGGAAGAATTTTTTAAGTAACCAGAAGTTGATATAACTAAGAGTTTCCGTGAGATTTTTTTTCTTAAAACAGTCTTTTTTATTAGCTCTCACCTTCATCCTTTCAGAAGTAATCCTAAAAACAGTAACTTAGCAGCTATCCCTGAATGGATGATTTTCTTCCTCTATTTAACACTTTCTCATTGAGCGCAATTCTTTCTTCATGGTCCCTGCCCAGTGCCCACTTTGTTGTAGAGTATGAAGTCTTAAATTCTCCTGATGATGTCACATTCTGCAGAGGATACCATTTCTAACTAGAAATGTCCTGACCTGGATTCATTAGCATTTCTTACAAAAGTCTCAGCCTTCTCATTCAGTACCTTGGCAGAGAACTATGTTAAAGCACTTCTTTCTCTCCTAAGTTTGCCTTTTAAGAAGCATCCACTATTATTATATGAGGTGGCCTATCTCTCTTAAGACAACAGTGCATTAAATTATACTATGTATTGCTTCTGAACGTGTGCCTTTCTCAGTGGGTGAGGAAGAGCATGTCTTTTAAGATTATAACAAGACAGGAAAATGAAACAACTAGAAGAAAGTACTGGTTTGCATAACTTTTTGTGCTTGGTCCTATAAAAAAAAAATGAAAAGAACAGCATCAAGTTTGATGTTACAAGGTGTTATGACAGTTTGTAGGCTGCCTAACTTTAAGTTAGAAGACTTGTGTTCAAGTGTTAAGATTCATCATAGGGACCTTGTAAAGTTCAACCACCTCTCTGGGTTCAGTTTCTTTCATTTGTAAAATGGAGAGAAATTATACCCTTTCTACCTATCTCACAGAGCGGATTGTCCTAACACCTGGTAAACTGGGTACATTTCCCTTTCTAAAAGACTGGACAGGGGTCAGCCAGTGTCAGAAATAAGGTCAGCTCATTGCCTTCTCTTAACATACTCTTAAAACTCTCATTATTTGAGAATTACAATATTGTCAATATTACTTTATAGGTGTTTCTAATGATTGGTATGCAACACTTGATATGCTAAAAGAAAGCTGTCGAATTGCCAGCAGTGTTAATTGGTCAGATGTAGACCTTTCCCAGTTCCAAGGTAAGTACTGGTTCTTTCTTATATATACATGGTTGTTTTGTCTGGAAGCTTATGTTTCCTTGTAGAAACATCTCATGTAAAGGCATTTCTTTTGCAGATAGTAGTATGCTTAAAAAGAACACTTTGTAAAATTCATAATAAAATATTTGGCCAATTGATGTGGCAGAGGGTCATGGATGGGTTCTGAAAGAAGTTTGACTATATTTAAAAGAATTGTGCTTTGAGTAATCTCTCATTCCTCATTGCATGGGTAAATTTAAAATGAGTCATTGGAAATTTAAGGGCTAAGAAAAATAGCCTTGCTGTTTTCATCCCAGCATTTGCAGAACTCTGCTAACTATCTTTCAAATGCTTTCCTCGTAGGTCTGATGGAGAGTATGAGACAGGCAGATCTGAAGAACTGGTCTTTAGATCAGGTTCAGTTTGCTGATCTCTGTTCTTCTCTTAATCAGTTCTTTACACAAACTGGCCTTATCCACTCACAGAGTAATGTTCAGCAAAATGTTTGTCATGGTGCCATGCATCAAACAAAACCTTCCCAACACATTGGAACAGGTATGGGCTTAGGAATCTTCTTGATTTTATCTCTCATTTGTATGAAATTCACTCTTAGGCAACTTGTTATGTTGCTAACAAATTCCAAGTTTACTTGGAGAGTAGACCTAATGTCAGGTTTTCATTGTTCAGGCTCTAAAATGGGACCATAGAAAAAATGAGAAATGATAAAAATTTCTCTGTGAAAATAAAAGTAATAAAAATATGACAGAACTTCAAAAATAGTTTAGAATGTTTAATGTAAATTTCTATTTATTCCTATAACCCTCTCTTAATTCCCATCCCCTCTGCCTTTAAAGTCAGAATTTCAAAGCCATTAAAAGATATTAATCTCCAATAAAAAATCAGTTTTGTCTTTGGGATGTGGCTTAGACTCTGAGGATGTGTAAAAAGAGAGCTAAGCTTTTGTAGGACAGAGTCTGGAAAATGTTAATGTATGATTGACCATATTACTCTTAGTAGCGTGGCTTCCCCAATTAGAAAGTGCATTAGCCATGCATGTGTTGACTGATGAGCACTTAGGGACAGGATTTTTTTCCCCCTCCAAGAATACTAGAGTTGTAACTTAAAAAAAAAATTTTCCTGTCTTTTTTTCCTAAATCATCAGTATGTTCAGTTAAAGAGCTCAGTTCCAACTGTGAGCTTTAGTCTAAAAGGAATGTTATCTTGGAATGCATGACTAGGACTTAGATGTCTTAGACTCTATTCCTGGTTCTGGCTTTCTTTTTTTCTGGCTCTGTTTCCCCATCTGTATGGTCAAAGGTTGGGTTGGATTGGGTTAGGTCTTTGACGCCATCTTAAGCCAAGCCTGGGCCTGATCAGGTCTGACCTTCTTGTGGCAGGTGAAAACTTGTGAGCAGCCAGTCAGTGTGCTTTTCCTTAATTTGGGGGTGCGTGATTGGGGATCTTCTTCCCTTTTTAATTTCTTCTGGAAAAATTGTTGTCTTTTCTAACAATGCTGTAATGAAACTAGTTCTAGTGTTATTTGTATAAAACTTTAGAAACCCTTATGAAAGCAGCCTTTCTAAAATTTCAGGTGTTCCTTACAATGTGAACCAATTTTTATTGTCCTCCTTCCCTAGGAGTTAGAGTTGGGTGGGGGGAAACATGATGTTTTCTCCCCCTCCTGGTTTATTTTGCATCAAAATACAATGTAATTAACATTTTGGAGCCATTACATTCCATGGCTTCTGTCCATGAAAATACATTAAGAACTTTTTCTGGAATATCAGTTGAATAAGATCTGTTACACACATTTCCACACTTCAGAGTAATACATTTTTAGTCACCTTTGCTTGGTGTAGCATTTTTATCTTGTGCAGATCTTTACTATTACTTTGTGTGTCTCAGTGACTTTGTTAATCTTAAACACACACGATTAGGCTGCTTTGGGGTGAGAAAATCAGAGAAATAGAGAACTAGGCAATAGTTGAAAGAATTCATGAGTTAGGAGATCTGGATTCTTTTAGCTCCTGTCAACCTCATGTCTTTGAGCCAGTCAGGTTAGCCTTTCTGAGCTTCAGAAAGGCTCATCTGTAGAAAAGGAATAGTAGCTTTTTATCTATGTAGATTTCTATTTATTCCTATAACCCTCCTTGTGGGCTTAGTGGAAGATCAGATAAAGTAATAAGTATAAAAACACTTGTGAATTGATGAGGTGTGTGACACCAGCAATAGATAAAACTTGCTTCTGAGCTTACAGAGAATTAGTGACAGTGCCAGAATTAGTGCCAGTGTACACCACCCAGCCTAGAAGGCTGTTCAAAAGGCCAGTACCATCTTCTACAGAGCTTTATTATCAGAAAAGAGTGATTTTTCTTCCTTCTCCCTCCTCACCCTACCAGTTAGTTTTAGGTCATAATTTTGTTAAGACTTTAATGCTTTATTTGTTTGATTTATGGTAAATGTTTTTTTTTTCTGCTATTTAATCTGATTAGGAAACTTGTACATAGACTCTAGGCAAAATCTCCCTCCTTCAGTGATGCCACCCCCTGGTTATCCTCATATCCCACAGGCACTCAGCACTCCAGGAACAACGATGGCAGGTAAGTGTGTGTATGTGTTTGTTGCAATTGGTGCTCAGCACTTACTCTTGAAAAGGTTGAGCTGCAGAAAGTCAAGTGTTTGTTTTCTCTCATATGTTGACGTTTACAGAGGGAAAAAAAAGGTATGTGGTCTCATAAATAGAAAGGAGACCTATAGAACCAAAAGACCAGAGAAAAGGAGAAGGAGAGGTCTAGGGTATGAAACTGTATTGTTATATTGTGTGCATGCATGAATTTGCAACAATAAATCCTATTATGTACAATATATTGCACCAATAAAAATAAATGTAAAATTCTTTAAAAAGCTTAAGCTGTCCCAACAATCAATGGTGCTGCTTCAGAAAGGAGTAAATTCTTTGTTGGGGGCCTGGGGACAGAGTAGTTGTGAGAGGATAGGACACTGGCAGGTGATTGGGCTTTAGGGAACCTACTTTGATTAGCTCCTGTAGATTCTGCTCCATTCATTCCAGTGGAGTTCCCTCAGCTAGGGATACTTCTTACAGAGGAGGTAAGTTGAGGACTTCCTAGTTGATAACCTTTTTTCCTCCTCCTAAGTTCCAAAATATAGGGAAAGTTATATTTAGCTAGGGGACTGAAGCACATTGTTAGAGCTGGAAGGTTCCTTAAGGATCACCTAGATGAGGAAATAGGGGCTCAGAAGAAAAGAGAACTTCCCCAGGCCACCCAGTTTGATAGACGGCCAAACCAAGACTCAAGGCGTTATTTCTGATTCAGAGTCCATTGTTATTCTCATATACCACACCACCCTTTACTTAAACTATATGCGGGAAAGAAAAGGTAATGTGGAGGATGGAGATTGGCTTAAAATTTACAGAGACCTGTGTGCCAGACACGTGCTTTGATGAAGGGAAAAGATGTTATATTTTGTTAGCACTCACATAGTAATTTGTAGGTGGCGTGATACGTTAGTTCGGACTATGGAGCCAGACTGCCAGGGTTTGAATCCTGGTCCTTTACCGACTTAATTGCTATGAGATGTTGATCAAGCTTCTGAACCCTCCTACTTCAGCTTCCCTGTCAGTAAAAGGGTACTAAGAACACTACCTAGCTCTGTGGGTTATTACGAGGCGTAATGTGGAAATCACATAAATTAGTCCCAGAGGTATGGTAAGGACTTTTTTAAGTTTTTGTTAAATAAAAAGCATGCACGCATTTATTTTTGCTATACCATAATCTACTGAAAGCTTCAGCATTTTATATAATTTTACATTAAAAGTTCTAGGAGACTAGTAAAAATTTTGTCATCTCAGTACTAACAAAGATAATGATCCAGTAAAAAAATTCCAAACAAAAAAGATATGCTTAATCACTAATAAAAGAATGAATTCTATGAGTAAATTTCAATCTCTACTTTTAAAAACAATGAAACTGATTTAGAAGGGGTCTGTCAAGATACAGAGACTCGGGCAGAATGCACTGAATTTGGGAAGATCAGACAGAGGCCAGAGTGATCCAAGAAGAATGCAGGTAGAGCAGAAATTGTGGAGTTAATTCTTTCTCCATGGTTTATTGTAGTTCACTGTTTTCTGTGTTCACTTCAAAAATGAACTTGCTGTAGAAAATTCAGTATGACCCAATCTGACGTCAATAGTACACTGACATCATTCTCCTCTTTACTATTCTTACGTGAGCCAGTTTGTTGCCCAGATGTATTGGAGCAGAACCAAGTGTAAAAAAAAAAAAAAAAAACAACTGTTGTGTCTGCACTTTTCTCATGTCTACTTGCTGCAGTCATGTATAATGAAAAAAGCATGGGTTTTAGAGTCAGGTGAACTGAGTTCAAGTCTTATCTTGGCCCCTTATCATCAGTGTGACTTTGGTTAACTTGCTCATCCTCTTAAACCTTGTCTGTTTACCTATAAAATGAAGATCATCTTGAGCTAATTGGATGAAGGTTTATTGTATGTGCTGTTTATCTGGTACATAGAAAATGTTCAGGAATGGGTATTGTATTTCATTCTTCTCTCTCAAGTCACTACTGATACTACTTTCTTCCTTTCAGGCCATCACGGAGCCATGAACCAGCAGCACATGATGCCTTCCCAAGCCTTCCAGATGCGGCGCTCCCTGCCTCCAGATGACATCCAGGATGACTTTGACTGGGATTCAATTGTGTAGGGCTTGTTTCTGCAAGGCATCAGACCCCCGCGTCACCTTTCTGTGCAGTTAAGGGAAAGGTTTTAAGAGAATCCAGTTGAGAAAACAAAGTTGCTAATCACTTCACCAATGTTATCAAAATTTCTTTTGAAGACAATCAAAAAGATTTTAGCTGGATAACTTACTGCTTTTATCTGACCCAAACAAGTACTACATGTTTGTCTCCCTGCCAACTGCCCTATGTAGCTCCTAACTGTTGTGTGATTTGGACAGCTTTTTGCATATTTGTGTCAGTTTGATGTTAACCACAAGTGCCAGACTGATTTTTCAGACAGAGCCTATTTTGCTGCAAGCAGTTTATAGATACATATGTGTAAATATATGTACAAAAATTACTGAAAGACTTCAATTTTTTCTAATTGGATTATTATGTCTTGAAAAGAAAGTTACTGTCAGTTTTTATTCTTGTTAGGCTATTTTCTGCAGGATGCTTTTAATTGATGTAGGGAACTGAAAGGAAATAGATTTTTCCAAAGCTGTTTCCCTTATTTAATCTTTTTCAGAAATGTGGGTAATAATGAATTCTGTCCAATAAGTCAAGGAACCTGGAGTTTGATACTCTTCAAACAATCCAGAGGGGCATGTTGTTCCTGAGCAGCATAAAGAACTGACCAAATTTGTTTTGATGCTTGGGAGGTTATAGAGTATATGTTGTACCTTGTCAATGTCTGTTTCCTAAATCTGCATTATGACAGCTCTGAAATTTGTTTCAATGGCTAGAAGCTGAGCATTGCTTGGCTCTAAACAAATTAATGCCTCCACATTCACTTATGTATTTATTATTCAGAAGTGTTATTTTAATATTTATTACTACCTTCTGTGAATGCTCATCTTCTATTGGGATTCACTAAGGAGAAATGTGGTGTTTGAAAAGCACAGAATTATTTTTCGTGATAAGAGTTTACAGACAAGACAATCAGAGGGATATTGTGTCATTCTCTTTATCATCAATCCTTTTACCAGGTGAGTGTATTTCTCTGTCTTAGCATTCCTGCTGATTGAGACTTAATAGCTAAATAGGATTTTTCTAGAAGTTGAATCAAAGAACATTTGGGCAACAGAACAATAGGACAGGATTCATGAAGCAGGTTTTCCTACTTTCTTCTTTCTGTTTAGGTAGCGCTGGAAGGAGGATGGAGCTACACATAGACTATTCGCCTCAGTGCAGTTACTAAGTGGATTTTTGTTTCAATTGTCCTGTGTGTGCATGACATTGGGTGGCTTTCTTTGAAATGAAGCCTACCTTGTATAGGAGTCTTTATTAGTTTTTTTGTATTGTTTCATGTCATCTCATAGTTACTTTGCATGGATTGGTTGTCATAGTTTTATAATGAAACTAGAAGAAATGAGATTTTTTTCCCTAATGAATAGGTTTTGAATTGATTCTTTAGAGAAAAAAAAATGTTTTTTCATTTTAATGGGATTATAAGTTCCATCAAATCAAGGAGGAATGACTGCTCACTGGTTGCTTTTTAGCACCTCTGATCTCTATCAGCCATATGCTAAATCACTTTAATTAGCCTTAGTGATTCTTTGGTTGAGTGATCTCTACTTGAACTAAACATACATTTTTTTTGTTTCTGTGGGTGTATGTATGTGTGCATGTGTGTGTGTGTGTGTGCGTTTTTTTTTGTTTGTTTGTTTGTTTTTTAAATGGAGTGTGGCCTTGAATGAGTCACTGGGAAGCCAGCTGTGGTAAGGGCTGGTGACATTGGGGAGGAAGAAAGAGCTTTATGTTTCTTTGTCATTTGGACTTTGCTTGTCATGAAAGGGAAGCTCAGTTCCAGCCCCTTGGATCAGTGAAAATCAGAGGATGCTGGAAAGGCAGCCAGCAGACCCCTCTTAGAAGGATCAAGGCAAGATGAGATGGCAGCCTGCAGAGTAAAAGCTTCAAAACAGGGGGAGTGATTTTCAGAAGTCTGCTCAAGTCATTGTTTCCTAGTCACCAAAATAGCTGTTCTGAAACTGTCTGAATTGCTTGGGTAGAAATGTGCACTTTAAACAGTTTGGGTATTGGAATGCAGTCTCTTAAACTGAATGATTTGGATAGAAACACCAACAATGATTTTACAAATTTTGTGACGCTAATTTCTCATTTGGTAATCATTTACTGATTTGCAGTGGTCAATATTTTTGTGAGTATTTAAATTTACCAAGAATGGTCTTGCTAATGCAAGACCTAGAAAAACTGGCCATGTTGGGCTTACTAAGATGGATTTCCACAACACTTGTACCTTCCTAGGGGATCCCCCACCCCCGAGCATAGCCTCACTAAATTTCCCAGACAGGGCTATCTGAGAGTCTCTCTACTGGTCATTTCTGTTGGTAGTTGCTAATGCAAAAAAGCAAGTTCTGTCTTGGGCTTAGATTGACTAAAGACTTTGGGGAAAAAGAATAATAAATGCATGTAATCAAACGGGGCATTCTGTCCAGGAAAATAATCCGACTGGCATTTGTGGCAGTTTTTGAAATGTAAATGTATTCATGTGTGTTCTTGTAAATATGTGTCTCTCAAATGTCCTTTGAAGTGGGAGGGAAACAATCTGGGGATAATTTCAAATGGAATAGAGTATTTTGATATTGTTCATTCAGAGGGTGATGTGTACATATCTATATTGTATATATGTGATGAAAATGCATTGGCTTTTTGTGCAAACACAAACTTGCTCTCTGTACTGCTGTTGGACAGTCAGTGTTTTAATGTTTCTACAGTTTTGCTATTGCACGATTTCATATTCTGCCTCTATGATGAACGGCACCCATTCTTTGTAACTGTTTAGTGCTGTAAAGAAATATTCCAAGTGTCATTAGGATTGTTGCTGCCAGACTGATATGCATGAATGGCACTTAAAATAAATATATAACGTTAACTCTTAAAACACTGATTGGTCCATGTCATTTGCTGCAGCTGAGGGAGTAAGACTGGAGCTAGTTCAGATGTGGACAGGACCCAGAGCCATTGGGGTATTTGAGATTGTGTCCCAGTGCACTACTGTGTCCACAGTGCTTGCTGCCATTTATTGAGCATCTCACTAGGTCTGTGAATTTGAGGAAGTATTTAATCTCTCTGAACCTCAGTTTCCTTATTTATAGTGCCTGTAAAATGAGGATAATATCACCTGCTGGCATTGGAGTGGAATAACATTGAACAACACATCTAAACATGTAGAATAGCACCCAGAGCATAAAACTTGGTGGTGCTCAGTATGTGCCAGGTGCCATGATCTTCAGATAGAGGTAGAGTGACTTATGTTGATTCTTTAATTGGCAAGTGACAGAACTGATATTTGACTTCAAACATGTTTTTTTTTTTTTATAGGATCCTCTCATTCCAAGAGAATTGCCTTATCCCTATTCCACTTGGCTGCCAGTCTTGTCCCCATCACTGCTTTCTCAGAGAGCTACTCCTAAAAGGCGAAAGTGGAGATTATAATTTGCCAAGCAAATATTCTGTGACAGCACTTCCCACAGGCAGCCCAGAGATGAGAAAGTCATCTCTGGTTTTAGGGGGTATAGACTTGCCCAAGACAGGTAGCAAATACCAGTCCTGGGAAACTGGTTAGGGAGGCTTCTCTGAAAGTTTTCCTTGGCAAAAACAAGAGTCATGGTGAAGAGGGTGGGTGGGATAGGGTCTAGAAAAGCCTTTTGTGAGTATGGACTATTCCTATTGAATCTTCAAATTTTCCAAGTTCAGAGAAAGTAATTTTCATTGGCATTATTGCTGTGAACTCCAATTGGGAGCTAGATTATTAGCATGGGGATTGTGGGCTGAGATGGGAGGGGTGTCAGGCTGCTAGTAAAGCACCAAACATAGTCTTCTATGAAAATGGTGGGGTTCTGACTTCACTGACGTGGAAGTCTCAGAGAGGCCAAGCAACAGGCAGGCCAGTTCTGGGGAAGTTGGAATGGAGCCAGGAGTATCTCATGGGGTGCGGGGGGGGGGGGGGCTTCCAACCAATCCCATGATCTACCTACAGCCCCTGGCTTCTTCTAATTTAACTTATACAACACTGCCAGAAACATCAATTTATTGCAGTTTTACAGAAGAGAAAACAAGCTCAGAAAGATTAACTTGCCTAAATTTTCACAGCTAGTAGCAAATCTGGGATAATTCAGCCTGGGTCAGACTCCAGAACTCATTTCCTTTTACTTCCACTGATGTCCAAAAAGAGAAATTAGCCTGGTGCAGTGGCACATACCTTACCTGTAATTCTAGCAATTCAGAAGGCTGAGACAGGAGGATCGCAAGTTGAAGGCCAGGCTTAGTGAGGCAACTTAATGAGGCAAGTTCAGGCAACTTAAGCTCTAAGCAATTTAGCAAGATCCTATCTCAAAAAATAAGGTCTGGGGATGTGGTACAATGGTAAAGCATCCCTGGGTTATATCTCCAGTAACAAAAAAAAAAAAAAGATTAGAAAAAAGAATTATTTAATTATTTTGAGGCAGGAATAGGGGCTATTCACCCACTGTGTGTGTCCCTGAGAAAGTGGGGCTGTGCTTTCCTCCCATCACAGGTTAAGTTTTGATCAATAGCAGTGCCTTTGAAGGACACAGTTAGATCTAGTTGCCTTGTTCAATTCAAGTGCATCTTCCTATTTCATCATCAAATGAAATAGGAAACAAGATCATTAAGCTCCATATTAAATTCTCAAGGCTTCAACATTTAGCTTTGTGCAAAGGGCTTCTGGATAAATTGTCTTATTTGGTCTACAAAATAACTTGACATGTACAGTTACTGCCACATTTTATAGAAGAAGAAACAGCTTCAGAGAGGTAAGGCACAATGTAGATGCATCATGAATGCATTCCACTGAAGGAATGCAAATTTTAAATAGTGTTATAATGGAATATTCATGTGCCTCTGAGCGAGACACAAGACTCACATCTGAGACTGTGACTGGTTTCTGCTTGTGTGTACTTCTCCACATGAGCATGATTTCATTGGCTAAAGATATACATACACACTTTAGGCAACATGGACTTTGGGTGTAAGCCTGCTGCTTCATCTGGCACTTATGGACAGATTACAGCCAAGACCTAGAAAAACTGGCCATGTTGGGCTTACTAAGATGGATTTCCACAACACTTGTACCTTCCTAGGGGATCCCCCACCCCCGAGCATAGCCTCACTAAATTTCCCAGGCAGGCCTTGAACTTCAGTCCTTCTGCCTTTGCCTCCTGAATTGCTGTGATAACAGGCTTGTGCCACCACACCCGACTCCTAGGGGGTTTTTAAGAGTGATTCTGAACTTTCCTCCCTGCACATTACCCTCCGTATAAGGGAGTAACAACATGTGTGAAGCATAAACTCAGTAATTGGCTGCACACAAAACCAGAATTCAAGCAACAGTGACCCCAGATGTACAGCATAGACAGCTATCGTTTATTAAGTGCATCTTAACTTGGTATCACTTATCCCAAGCATTTGATTCAAATTGCATTTACCATATTTACTCTGAGAAACAGCTGTGTGGCTGATAGCTGCTGTTATTACTAATCTCAATAAAGAATCTTTGCTACTTATTTACCCAAGATCATCCAGCTGGTAAGTGGTAGATAATGATGATAATAGCAGTAGAGCTAGGAATTCAAACCTAGGCCTTGCAGCTCCAGCCTCAGCATTCTTCACTAGCACACTGCTGTCCCTGCTCCTTGGTGTTGTTCCCTGAGCCACCGACCATAGGGCCTTGGGACAAAGCGGTGGGTGCAGTGAGTACCTGTGGCCACCAGAGGGTGGAGCAGCCAGCTGTGTGCTCTTTCCCTTCAGGATGGTTTCCTCTACCCGTGGGGCTGTGCTCCATTTCTCTGCAACCCCCAGAGCTCACTGCTGTTGAAGGTTTAGTAGGTGCCAGCCCTCAGAATTCGTGCCCCTCTTTTCCAGCATTGGAGGCCTCCTAGCTGGAGAAAGCCAGTGATTCCTTCTAGTCCTCAGAGCCAAAGGATGATGGGGCCCATTCCCCAGCTGCCTCTGCTCCTAGACCTCCTGATGCCTACTGCATCTCCACTGCGAGGTTTGGGTTGGGGGAGGTCACCCTACTATCATCCCCAAACTCTTTTCTCCTGAGGCTCTACTCCTCTTCTGGGACCAGGACTGACAAGTGTTTGGGCAGGTGTGTTTTGGGCCATCCACACACCTTGTCCTCCCCAGCCCTGCCTCTGAGCCTGAGTGGGCCTTGGTGTCTTCACAAACATACATACACACACACACACACACACACACACACACACACACACCGGCTCATTTGGCTGTCACAAATATTATGATTATTGCCACCATTTGCCAGGCCCCTGCCCGGTACTTGACAGCCATTATCTGAGTTAGCACTCCCAACTGCCTGGTGATGTTGGTGTCATTATCTGCCTTTTTACTGCCGGGCATTGCCACTTGGAGAGGTGAAGTGCTTTGCCCAAAGGTCGCTGCCAGTGAGAATGAGAGGAGGGAACCCAGATCCGCCTTACTCTGGTCTGCTCTTTCCATTGAGGCAGATTGCCTCTTCCCCAACACTTCCCAGTTGTCCTTGACCTCTCTCATGTCACCCCACCCCATCCCACCCTACCTCAGAGACACTGAGCTGACGTCACTCACCCTGTAATGCCTCTCATACTGCAGCTCCCAAAAGGTCATAGGGGCAACTTCCAGTCCCAGACAAGGGCAATAAAGATGTTAGGAGGACACTTCCCACCTTTCCCATCCTGAGCGATGTTCATAGGCAGAGGCAGGAACAGTCCTCTAGCTCTGTGAAAGTACGTATGTGTATAAGTTTGTGAGTGAATGACAACGTGTGCTCATGTAGTTGTATAATTGTGTCTGACTGGGTACGTGGTTGTGCAGCCTGTGTGATTGTGCCTGGGACTTGGTCTCTGTGTTCAGAAGCTGCAGGCAGGAGACAGCTCCTCACTCAAATTTGGTGGCTTGTTAGCCTCTTCCTCCTCTTCCAAGGTCCCATATCTGGGGAGATCTTGACTGGGATCAACCTGGCTTCTCAGATGCTGGCAGAGTGAGGTCATGTACGTTGATAGTCTTTCTGTTCTCATCACATTTCTGTCTTGTCCCTGTCACTACTCCTCCTACCTACATGCCTTTGAGCTGGGTCCTCTGGCAGCCCCTACTTTGCCCATCCCTGGTTTCCTTGACGACCAGAAGCTGGTCAGATGTGTTACTCAGCATCCTGGCCAGCTTGTTCCCTGCAGGTCCTAAGGCAGTGGGGGAAAAATGTGAACTTTGAAGTCAGAAGGACCTAGAATTCTATGTGGGCAAAACACTGCCCTCCCTCCCTCATCCACACAGTGGGTGCCATACCTCAAAGTGTCATGGAGAAGGCAAGTGGAGAGCAGCCTGCCAGGTGCAGGCATGCAGGAGGTCCCAAGGAACTGTCTTCTCTTTATCTGCTGCCATGTTGCAAGACCAGCTGATACTCCTGCCCCGGCAGCCTTCCACCTACCCCTTCCCTTCTTGTCAGAGTCCTCTCAATGCCACTGCCACTGTGGTCTTTCTAAATCACAGCTCTGGCATGATCTGATCTTGCCTCCTATGGCTTCCCACTGTCACCAGGTTAGGGGCAAATGCTGGTAGTGTCTTCGTCTTTTCTTTTCAGGGTACTGGGATTAAACTCAGGGCTGCTCTATCACTGAGCTACACCCTTAGCCCTTTTATTTATATATTTTTATTTTGTGACAGGGTATCACTAAGTTACAGAGGCTGGTCTTAAACTTGTCATCCTCTTGCCTCAAGTGCCTCAGTTGCTGGGATTACAGGCCTGTACCATGTGCTGTTTCTGAGCTGGTGTTTATACCTCCCTCTGGCTGCTGCTCTAGACACACTGCTTCATCCCAAGCCAGCCTCCTTCCCTCTGCATCTCCTACGTTCAATTTTTCCACTGATCAAGCCTGCTTCAGACCCCATCCTGGCTGGCAAGCATTCTCTGATGGAGCTAAGGGGACCTGCAGCCCTCAGTTTGTCCTTCTCTCATGGCCCCTGGTATGTACCCCACAGAGTCTCATGGAACCTGTCCATGTCCTGTCTGCCAATCAACTGGGCTCTGGGAGATCCCTTCTGGGACACATGGAGGCTCTCCAGCTGTGTGTCTCCTTCCTAGCAGCCTTCAGTGTGGGAGGTTGTCTCCATAGCTGATGGCTGATGGGGAGGAGGAGGCAGCTGCCAAGTGGGAACAGATGGTGAGTGGAGCACCCCACCACCTCACCCAGGCCAGGCACAGGGGATGACACTGCTGTGCAAACAGGCAGACACACCCTCTGTCCACTCCACAGATGCCCCCCTGGATCATCAAGGGAAAGAGCCGACCCACCTGGGGCCTGAGGGGTGGAGAGAAGTTTCTCCGTATGAGCCTAGACTTGGGCTCTGGCTGACAGGCCTAAAATCCCAACTGCCACCCACTTGGTGTGTCACTAAGCACTCTTTTTCTGAGAGCTTTAGCTTCCTTCCCTGTTAAGTGGACATCATTGACCTCCCTCACAGGGTTTGACTCAATGGCCACTCCTTTCTTCTTTTTCCTCCCTGGAAGGGGAAAAAAGATGCCAGTTTGGTACGAGAAAGACAATATAGGAGGTATGGTATTGGATTGAGTAGAAGTTCAGATTTTTCTTTGGAATTTGAGAGAACTGGATTCTGTTTGGGAATTTATAACTGTGTGACCACAGCTGCTACCAAGCCCACTTGACAATGAATCTTGACAATGAATTGTACCTTCCTCTGAGTTGAGGTATAAGTGTCTAGACTTATACTCTCCAGAGCCCAGGTGACCCTCTGCAATACAACAGTACCCTGCAGCCACATAGGCACTTTTGGGATAATCATGGTATTTAACCTCTGAGCTGCTGAGCTTCAGCTTACCCATCTATAAAATGGGGTTATATAGTTACTTCTTGTGTATTCCCTGAACTGTTAGTAGGTTTATATCCATTGTAATGTCTACCTCAGGTTCCTTGAGTTCCCATAGGAACCAAAGATTGTTACACTCTTTAAAATACATTTATAAGTTTTAAAGGTGAGGCTGTGAAATGTGAACCACACCCAGGTCAGGATTGGAGTTTCTAGGCCCCCCACCTGGGCTGTTCCAGGCCTTTCTGCTAAGACCAGCTTAGGCTGCTGAGCCGAGGGAAGAGGAGCTGGGCCCCAAAAGATTGAGCCAAACTGGACCCAATTCTAATGGGCACACAGGAACCATGATAAGGTCACTAAAACACAAATGTTGACCTCTTGGCCAAAAGGAATGGCATTGGCCTCCTCCCAGGGCAGGGCTTCCCGACAGTAGGCAAAGCCTGCAGCTTCCTGCAGTGTGGTGGGGGGTGGGTCTGGTTTCTACAGATGACAAGCACTTAGCCCAGAGTTTGGCACAGAGTGAGTCCCGATCAGCATTAACTGTCATCGCTAATGTGACAGACAGTGGCTGCCACCTTCCTGACTCCATAAAGACCTGCGGCACCCACCTAGCTCCAGGCCCTGTATGAGGGGGGCCCTCCACTCCAGCGTTGCTTTCAGCAGCTCATGGGCCTGATGAGGTGCATGCTGGGAAGAATGTAGAGGCTGTGGAGGACAGAGGAGGGGAAGTGCTCTTAACCCTCACTGCTGGGGCCAGGGTTGGGGTTGATTAGGAAAGCTCTAAAAGAGCTGAAATTTGCATTGGAGCTATTAATTCTCAGAGGCAGAAACTGAGGCCCAGAAAGTAACACACAGTTTAAATGATGGCGCTGCCTGGCTCCAAAGCCTGAGCTCTGACCTCCAAGTTTGGCCCCTGCTTCCTGGTCCCATCCTGGGGAGTCCTTTGGGATCTTGGCTGAATGGTGAGCTCAGCAGAAGCCTGATCATGATGACCCTGAGTGCCAAGCAAGGGTGTCTGGCTTTCAACCCCAGAGGTTTGGAGCAGCTTCTGTTGGGGTTCCATGGAGAAGCAGGAGATGGCATGGCCTGGAACGCCACAGAGGAGCAAGAGTTTGCCAGAAGAGGTGGTCTTGGGATGCAAGGAACCCAAACAGCCTCAGATCTACCTCCTGCCCACACAAGAATGATGAAGAGTATGGGTTGCTGGGAACCAAGGGGACTCGGGTTGTGGGCATGGGGTCTAGAAAGCTTGAGGTCCTGGGAGGACCTCAGTGCAAGCTGAGATCCTATGTCCCCTGGAGAGTAGGAAGGGTGCCTAAATTCACAGCTGGGAACAGAGCTGGGGAGGGGAACTGGGGGCAAGGAAAGAACAGTTGGTTCCTATTTCCCAGTGCTGATGTCAGAGGGGGCTGGGTAGGGCAGGACCCAAAGGGCCAAGGCCTAGGAGCCACTTCCTCTTTCCCACCAAGGAGCAATGTCACTCCCACAGTCCCCAACCCCTCAATTCCTGCTCTATTCCAGCAAGTCCTGGCCAGGGGGCTGTGGGAAGAAGAGGCATCAGGAACAAAAGTCTCCTCCCCTTAGCCCAATCCTGCTGTGCCTTGGAGGGGACAAAGACTGGAGAACCAAGGTGAGTCAGAGAAAGGGCTCCTTCAGCCTGCAGCAGCCCCACCCCAAACCCCATCCTAAGGCCAAATCAAATCCTAAGGCAGCTTTAACCTCACATGGAATCCCAGACCCAACCCCAATCATAAACCCAGCCCAGCCACACCTCCAACCTCAACTGCAAATCAACTCAGTCCCAACTCTACAAGGAGGCTTAACCTACACTCACAGCAACCTCCACATCAGGAACATTCTCCACATCAGGCCAATCCTAACTGGGCCCCCAATTCCAAACCTAAGCCTAGCACTGCCCTGTTCCCAGTCTAACCCTGACCCTAATCCAAATCCCAGTTCAAACCCCAACATGGACTCCCTTCCCCAACTGCTACAACAGTCCACCCCATTATAACAGCCCCAGGGCCGGCCCCTCACCTAAAGCTGATGTTCCTTAATCCCACTCAGGTCCACCCAGCCCCCAGCAATCCCAGCATGGCCTGAGTGTTCCTGATGCTCATCCCTTTCCAGCACCCTTTTTAGTCCCAGAGGGATCACTGGCCTCGCCTCCAACCCAACTCCTTCCAGACCTCTACCCGGTGGGGTGGGAAACCTCTGCAGGCACACACGTGCACACCCACATACTTTAGCACATGAAGAAATACATGTTAACACAGACACTTAAACTTACACATCCCCAAAGCATGCACAGATATGCACACCTTGGCACACATACACATCCCAATGTACACACACTCCCTGATATACAAACACACATACACGTTAGCATACACATGCACACACCCCAGCATATGCCCAAATGTAACATAACCTCTGTGAAACACACATCTACATACGCACACACCTTTCAGAGTACACACATATATCTTGGCATGCACAACACATTCCTCAGTGTAAATGCATGCACCTGGGTGTATACAGACACACACACCAGCAAGGGGAGTGAAGTCCAGTCTGAGGTGGATCAAAAGCTTCCTGCCCCTCCCTGAGGCCTGGGCCCCTTTGTAGTTCCCTCCTCCAGGGGCTCTGCTCCTTCCAGCTCCTTCTTCAGTGCTGATTACGCAGCAGGCCCAGGGATTACCCACCCCCTTTTTGGAGCTGTCAGGGCAACTAGCTAGGATATGAAGTAGCAAGATTGCGAGCCTCAAGGAGATGCTTTCTCCTGTGTGCTGGGGCCGCTTGCCAAAGATCACACAGTGAGCACGCAGTGCGGATGGAGGTCAGTCCCAGTGGGATGCAGAGGACACATCAGGCAGTCTCACCTGCAATCCCATTGGGAGGATTTCAGGCCAGGACACTCTGAGGCTGCTGGGCTGGCAGGATCAAGGGACCAGCACAAGAAGAGGCCAGACTGTGGCTTAGAGAGGCAGGTGACACAAAGGGGCAGCGAAGACCAGGATCCGCTGCTGATTACAATGTAACTGAATGGCCCCCTACAGAGTGCTCCCTGTGTACCAGGCATTTAAAGCCTCATCTAATCCTCAAAACCATAATACCTGTCTATAAAGTAGGTATTAATATTGGTCCCCACAGAGGACATTGGGACAATTAGACTCAGAAAGGGTCTAATCAATATCCTGGGCTTCTCTTACCTCTCACTTGTCCCAGACATAACACCCTCTGCACAAAATGATCCTCTACCCTATCCCATCTCAGAGAACCCCCACCCCAGCCCCATTCTCCAGGCCTCAGTACTGACACCACCTCCTTGGGAAACCCTCCCAAGCTGCCCTGCCGCCCCCCTTGTGAGGTAGCCCCTCCCTGGAACCCATCCCAGTAGCAGCCCTGTTGCCCCCACCCTAATGGCCCTGAGTGTCGTCACTGTCTGGGTTTGGGCCTCCATCCTGAAGGGTAGGGCTTGGTCTGCAGGCCCCACCCCACAGCAAGGGCCCGACCCAGCCTGCCTGTGGGTCAAAGTGGTGCCCTGGGAGCGGCCGGGGCTCTGCCAGGCTTGGGGTTGATCTCTTATCTCCCAGGGCTGCCTTGAGCCTTATCTGATGGGGCCTGACAGGCAGCAGATGAGACACTGACACAAGCTCAGGGTTATTCAGTAACCCTCACCTCTTTAAAGCCCCACTGTTTCCTGCGACATCCAGACCAGCTGCTCCTCCAACTAGGGCTGAGAGAGAACTGCAGTCATGAATACCTTCCTGCTCTCAGCGCTGTGCCTCCTGGGAGCCTGGGCCACCCTGGCAGGGGGGGTCACCGTGCAGGTAAGCCCCATCCCTACCTGGCCCCTGAGAGAGCACAGCGGCTTTGGGGACTGGAGTGGAGGTGGCATTTGAGGCTTACACTTCCTTGGGGACCCTCTTTTCCGTCCTGTCAGCCACACACACCTTTTGCTTCAAACCTGGAGCAGAAAGAACCCAGGTAGGAGAGAAAACTGGGAAAGGTGAGTGATGGAATGCCTGCCAGTTACGGTACCTCCCCAAGCTTCTCATTGAGGCCCCAGCACCCTGGGAGGAGTCGGTTTTTAACTCCATTTTACAGGAGAAGGAAGCTGAGCCCCAGAGAGGTTTAAAGAGATGTCCAGCGGAGAAATGAAAAAGCTGGATTCAAACCCAGGCCTTACTCCTCAGCTCTGTGCTCAGCTAGAGCAACCATCTGGGTCCCAGGAACTGTGAGGACACCCCAGCGGTCCAGATGGTTGGTTGCAGGACAGTGCCAAGAATGCTGGCACCCAGTAGGGGATCCTCACTATGAGAGACTCCTGGAGCCTCTTAAACAAAAACCAGGCTGCAGGCTGGAGATGGGGGCTCAGGGGAATGCAGCCTGTGCATGGCTGTGTGGAACTGAGACTCTGCTGCACCTCTCCCTAAAAACCAGCTCACGGAGTCCTCATCAGGCACCTACTGTGTCCCTGGCCCTCCACCTCCATTTTCTTCATTACTCATGACAACTTGCAGAACCTGAGGCCTCCGGGTACCCAGGGTCACAGAGCAAAGCCAGCAGGGCAGGGACCGGCTCTGACCCCCACACCAGCTCACTGGAGCATCTGTTTCCTAGGCACATTGCTCGTGTGCCCTAGAGCTGAAACTGCAGGGTTGGGGTCCCACCAGGGAGCTGAAGCCTGCCCTCCTGCCTTGGCTGTCTTGCTCAGGATGGAGACTTCTCCTTTTCCCTGGAGTCAGTGAAGAAACTTAAAGACCTCTGGGATCTCCCGGAGCCTAAGATTGGGAACTTCAGGAAGCTTGTGCCCACCCTTGGTAAGCCTGTGGCTCCTGTGATCTGCAGCTATGAAAAGTTTCCAGAAGAAATCAAGCCTGTTTGCAAGGAGCCCAATGCTGAGGAGATCCTGCAGAGGCTGGGTGAGCGACCTCCTCTGGGAAGGCTGGGCTGGGGGATTCTCTGTTGATGGCTCTTGAGGAAGAGATGTTCTATGGTAGGTGGGGCTCTGTTCTAATTGGTGGGTCTGTTGAGCTCACGTTACGGTTAGTTCCAAGTTGTAACTGGTGAGACTTAGGAAGATCCTGGTTCAGACGGATGGGTTGGTAGGTAGTACTGTGCCCCAACATCTGGTGCTAGTGTTATCTCTTCTCTGGGTAGAACCTTCATTCTGATTGGATGGCTTGAGTGGTCCATATGCCCTTTTGGGGATGGAAAGCCCCTTCATGGGTCAGAGAGGCCAGGCTTGTTGGGCCTCTCCTGGGGATTGGGTGGCTGCTATTCAAGCTCTGGCTGAAGGGAGGCAGGGGCCCATGGGGGAGGGATTGCTGGCTCTCATCAGGCCCCATCTCTCCTGTCCAGAGGCCATCGCTGAAGACCCGAGCACGTGTGAGATCTGTGCCTTCGCTGCCTGTGCTGGATGCTAGGGCGGTGGTGCTCACTGCCCTCTCCCAACTTTGCAGGGAAGCCCTGTCTTCTGCTGGAGGGGCAGCCTCTGATATTCCCACACCCAGCTGCACAACCTGCCCTGCCCCAGAATTGGGGGTGGGGGTTGGGGGTGAGGAGAGAACAGCCCAGAGAGGGGCAGGGGTACTAGAGATCCAGCCAACCCTCGACTAATAAACCAGATTCCAGAGTCCTTCCAGTGTTGCCTTTGTCTCTTGCTTTGTGGATGCCCGTCCTATCCTGGGAAACTCAGGGTTCAGCATGCCAGAGTGGAAGGATCCCAAGCTCCCTGCTAAGCTATCCACTTGCTTGGGGCTGCCACCACACACGGGAATCAAGGGGACCGGAATCTCTAGGCCATCACTTAGGAGGGTGGAACCACTGCTTTTCTTTCACAACTTCTGGGGTCACCAAAATCACAAAGCCACATATGACCACAAAGCCTGTCTGAACTGGTTAGGATGTCCAGCGCAGTGGATTGCTCTACTATGAGATCAGTGTCAAGCTCTTAATATTCAAGGCACCCAGGATCTGGCTTCCTCTGACAAGGCCAGCCTTGCCTCCTGCCCTCCCCCATGATCCCATCCCAAGCTGCACACCTATGGCCATTTCCTTTGCTCCCACTCACCTACCTCTGCACTGACTCTCTGCCTGCACCGCTGGCCAGGTAAACGACCCAGGCTCCAAACATCACTCCATGCCCTCTCCTCAAGTTGTCTTGTCTGATTCCCCCAAGAAGAGCTGTAGTGCTCCTACTCTGTCCTTGGTGCTTTCTGTGCACGTTGATTACCCACATCCTTGCACAACTCTATTTACCCTGTTGTGCTGTGTCTGGGGAGCCTCTCTATCCCCAGACAGGGTGAAGTCTACCCACATGTTGATAGCATGGGGATAGACCAGGGTAGAGGGGAAGCTAAGACAAGGTGGTTTCAGCCTTGGGCTCCAGCCTCAAGCTTTCAACATGCTGTGTGAGACCTAAGAAAAGGAAGTAAGGCCAGTCAGTGGAAGGAGAGGGAACAAGGAAAGAGGAGATCACCAGGGTCCTTCTTGGGGAGTCAGGTGGAGAGGAAGTGCCACAGAGTCATTCAGGTAGGATTCCCATGATCTGTGATATTCAGAGGGTGACATCTCATCTAGCTGAGGTGAGATACATTTTCATTAGCCCTTGGGGACTTGCATCAGAATGGATGGACTTTAAAACCAATGTAGAAGAGGAAGGAAGAGAAATTTCCAGAAGGTTAGGATGATGCACACATAAACAAAGAGGCACTGGAACAGTAATAGTTCAGATGGGACAGTGCAGAGCCTGGGAGGCTGTCAGATTGGATTTGAGCCTGAGCATGTCATTTGCAAGGCGTGTGCCCCTCCCCAGCCTTGATTTCCTCATCTGGAAATGGGATGAGAACAGATCCTGCCTCCCCAGGTGGCTGGGGGAGTGACGAGATGTGTGGTGGGTAGAATCACTTAATGCTTGAATTCTGGAGTCAGACTCTCCGGCAATTAATCCTGGCTTTGCTTGTTAGAGCTGTGTGACTGGGGGTCGTTTACTCCTCAGTTCCCTTATCTGTAAAAATGGGATGGCAAGAATTCCTATTTCTGTAGAGTTGAATGAAGATGAGAGGAAGTAATACCTGGTAAAGTTTTTAAAGCTCCCTGGGTCTTTGACAACCAACAGGTCAAAGAAGAAATTAAAAGGAAAGTTGAAAGATATTTTCAGACAGGCAAAAATAAAAACACAAAATACCGAAAATTATGGGATGCAGCAAAAAAACAGTTCAAAGAGGGAAGCACTAAATGCCTACACAGAAAGAGTCTCAGTAAGCCATCTAATATTACACCTCAAGGAACCAGGAAAATAGCTACTCCTGAAAAAGAACGTCCACTAACTTAGAGCAAAGTTAGCAGAAGGAAGGAAATAATAAAGATCAGAATAGAAATAATTAGAAAAACAATAGAAGAATTAACAAAACTAAGAGCCTTTTGAAAGATGAAAATTTTGACAAACCTTTAGCTAGACTAAGGGGGGGAGAAGAGAAGAGTCATAAAAAAATTATCAAAGGTTTTCTTCTAAGATCAGGAATAAAACAAGGATGCCCACTCTTCCTACTTCCGTTCAACATAGTGATGGAAATCCTAGCAATAGAAATTAAATGAGAAAATAAATAAAAGGCATGCAACTCGGAAAGGAAGACGTTGAATTGTCTCTATTGTAGAACACATGATCTTAGATATAGAAAACCAAAAATACTTCACCAAAAAAAATTGTTAGAACTCATAAACAGGTTGCAGGATATTAAATAAACATACAAAAATCATAGCATTGCTTGGCGGAGTGGCACACAACTATAATCCCAGTGGCTTGGGAGGCTGAGGCAGGAGGATTTGCAAGTTCAAAGTCAGCCTCAGCAACTCAGTGAGGCCCTAATTTACTCGGCGAGACCCTGTCTCTAAATAAGATATGAAAAAAGGGCTGGGGACATGGCTTAGTGATTAAGTGCCCCTGGGTTCATCAGTAGCATTTCTACATGCTAACAATGAACTATCCAAAACACAAATGAAGGAAATATTATTTACAACAGCAAAACAAAGCTTAGGAATAATTTAAGAAAGTAGGCAAAAGAACCATAAACTGAAAAATACAAAATATTAATGAAGGAAATTGAAAACATAAATAAATGGAAAAATATTCCATGTTCATGGATTGAAAGAATTAATATAATTAAAATGTCCACACTACCAAAAGCATTCTACAGATTCAATGCAATCCTTATCAAAAGTCCAATGATATTTTTTCACAGAAATAGGAAAAAAATTCTAAACTTCAAATGGATGCATGAAAGACTCAAAATTGTTAAAGAAATCTCAAGCAAAAAGAACAAAGCTGAATGCACCACATGATCTAATCTCAAAATCTACTCCAAGGCTATAGTAATAAAAATAGCATGGTACTGATTAACACACACACACACACACACACACACACACACACACACMCCAAACATACAAATGAGTGAAACAGAATAGACTCCAGAAATAAGTCTACAACTGATCTTTGACAAAAATGCCAAAATCACATAATAATTGTCCAATAAATTGTTCTAGGAAAACTGGATATCCACATGCAGAAGAATAATTTCATCCCATATAAAAAAATCAACTCAAATGAATTAAAAACTTAAGTATAAGACCTGAATTGTAGAATTACCAGAAGATAGGGAGGGGGGAATTCTTGGCATTGGTTTTGGATATGAAAAATGGGATGGCATCAAACCCAAAAAGTTGTACAGAGCTAAGAATAAGAGATAACCTATGGAATGGAGAACTGATGAGGGATTAATAGCCAAGATATATAAGAACACAAGCAACTCATTAGCAAGAAAACAAGTAATCCAAATTTAAAGTGGGCAAAGGACCTGAGAAGATATTTCTCAAAAAAGATAAATGAACAGCCATAAGGTATATGAAAAGGTAATCAATATCACCAATCACTAGAGAAGTGTTAGTAAACCATGATGAGATACCACCTCAATCTTTAAAAAAAAAAAAAGGCATATATATTCATTCCAAAAGGTAAAAGGGTGTGTTGGGAAGGATGTAGCAAAAACAGACCCCTGTACCCTGTTGGTAGGAATGTAAATTGGTGCAGTCATTAGCCCTCTGATGGAATGGAGGTCTTTCCTCTAATTAAAATGAGAACTACCATATGGACCCAGCAATTTCATTTTGGACATACCTAAGATAAGAAATCAACATGTCCAAAATGTGTCTTCACTACCATGTTTATTGCAGCATCCATCCCAATAGCCAAGGCATGGAATAAAGAAAATATGGGACACATACACTATGGAATGTGATTCAGCCCTGGTGTGGTTTGGATCTAGAAAGTCCCCCAAAGGCTCATGTGTTGATGGCTTTGTCCCCAGTGCAGCAATGCTCAGAGGTAGGGCCCTTGGGAAATAACTGAATCATGAGAGTTTTGACCTCATCTATTGATGGATTAACAATTTGATGGCAATAATGGGAGGTGTTAGAAACTGTAGGAGGTGGGGCCTAGGTGGGTCAATGTGGGTGTATCCCGGAAGGGTTTATCTTATCCCTGGCCTATTTTCCCCATTCTCCTTTTCATGGCTACTATGAGGTGAGCAGCTTTCCTCTGCCACACCCTTCCGCCATGATGTTTCCATCTCAGAACCAGCCAACCATGGGCTGAAACCTCTGAAACCATGAGCCCAAATCAACCTTTCCTCCTCAATTGTTTTTCTTGGGTATTTTGTTGACTTTCTTTTTTTTATCACTAAAAAAAAGAAAAATAGAAAAATGGATTGATTCTGTTGTCCATGAAGAGCATAAATAAACGTGGAGGAAATTGTGCTAAGTGAAATAAGCCAGGCATAGAAAGAACAAGGTGTGCATGGCCTCACTTCAGGTGGAATCTAAAAGAAATCTAACGCATCCATGCAGAGAGTAGAAGGGTGGTTACCAGGGACTGGGAGCAGGGGATAAAATGAGGGCATGGTAAAAAGAAAGAGGAAGAGGAGGGGGAGAGGAGGGAAAAGGGGAAGGAAAACAAAGCTCTGCTGGACCACGGAGAGCACTTTGTAGGTGCTGCTGTTCTGCACATGAGAGGTGCTCCACAGTGACTGTTCCCTTCGCTATCTCCACCAGGTGAGCTATAGGGAACTTGCATCCAGAGCATGTCTGGGCTCAAGTTAGACTTGAGAAGTGGCACTGGGGAACCACAGCAGTATAAGGAGCATGGGGGGCCTACAGGCTACAAGGCCATGAAGGAAGCTTTGGCCTGGCCTGAGTGATGGTTGAGGGTGAGGAGTAGGGGCCTAAATTGCTACAGCAGGCCTTGCAAAGGGCCCCAGTCAACCTCACCCTGGGGGAGGGAGAGAAAGAGGCTGGAGCCTGCAGAATTCCTGAGAAAAACTGGGCAATCAGGTTGGGCAGCTGACTGAGGAGTCACCATGGCCTTGGGGAGCTTCTAGAAGGCACAGGTCCTTTGTATCTGGCTTCCCTCCTCCTTGGTTGCCCAGGATGAAGGACAAGATGGAGTTTGCTCTGGAAAGGCCCCACTACTGGGAATTCCCAGCACAGCTCTTGGATCAACTCTGTTCCCAGGGATTCCTAGCATGTCCCCTGGCTTTAGCCAAGGGCCCTGAAGGCTATTGGGAGGTGGTGGTGGCTGCACTGGGCCCTGCCTTCAGCAGCAGCTTCAGTAGGCTGGCAACATGGAAAGGCAGGGACAGCATGGTCAGAACACAGACTGTGATCCAGGCGTCCTGGGAAGAACCTGCTTAGCCACTTTCCAAGTCTCTGGTCCCAGGCTGAGTATTTCTCTGTGCCTACCCTCCTGACTGGTAAGGGAGATGGGAGTTAACCACAATGTCTACTTCACCTGACTGTTGTGAGTTGCATGTGCCAAATGTTCAGAATGGTGTCCAGGATATAGCAAATGCTCAATTAATGTTGGCTACTATTAGTACTCCTTGGGGCCACTGGGCTGGGGAGGAGAAAGGAAGGTCTTCCAGCTGGAGCTGGCCAGATGGCTCCCAGGAGGCCAAGAGCAGAGTGGGAGCTTAGAGAAGACCTTTGTCTTCTGAGAAGGCCACTGGCAGAGCCAGCCCTGGTGTGGGCCTGGGAAGGCCACAGGTGACCTCCCTCCATCCCTCCTCCCATTGTCCTCACCCCTGTCAGGAGTACAGAAGCTAGCTCTGACGCTGGGGTCCTGGAGCTCAGCCTGAGGGTCTTGCAAGCCTGGGTTGCTCTGTGAGGTCATGTGACTCTCCACCTGAGCTTTGCTCCCTCATCTATGATATGGGGCTTAATGAATCAGCTCTTTGGGCTTGGGAAGTTCTGCCTGTTATCTTCTGTCCAACCTTGCCCTCAACCCATGCAGCTTCCCAAGATGTTCCAATGGACAAACAGACACTTGGCTCCATGTGAGTGGAGAGTTTATTCAGGAGCAGGGAACCCTGCTCAATCTTGTGTCCCATTGCTTTATTGATCAAGCTGCTCTGGCCTGGGAGGGTGGTGACAACTGTAGTGGCCAGGAGCCTCTGCTTGAGTGTGAGGGGCCAGGCGTCCAGGGTGAGCTCAAGGCTCCCAGGGGCATCTCAGCAACCGGTGCAGGCGACATTTACACACAGCTCACAGTTATCATTGGCGATGGTCCCTGGGCAGGAAAGAAAGTCAGCCAGCTGACCCTAACCCTGGACCTGGAAGGTGGGTGGCCACAGGGGAGCTGCTGGACAGACTGCAGAGAGGGGCTGTGTAGGAGGGGACCCAGCACCTTCTTCACAGAATGGGCATAGGGAGCTTTGGAAGTAGTGAGGCTGGTCCCCATCCCAGGTGCTCTCCCTCCAAGCAGGGACTGGGCAGGGGACTTTGGTCTGTGCCCTTTTCTTGTCTGCTCCATGGACAGCTAAACCTTTCAAAGGTACGTAGGAGGGAAGGTGGACAAAGGAGGGACACGGGGACCGGCCCAGAACAGGCTCAGCAAAATGCCTGCCAGTCACTGTGTTCCGCTGCCTGGCTCTGCCTCATCCCTCTGCTGTCAGCTCAGCCACCATCTCCCCTTGGAAGCTTTTTGGACCCTTGTCCCATCAGGTGTGAGGACCGGGCTCTTCTGCTGCTCTCCCAAGCACTCACTGTGTGTTCGGGGGCTGTTCCCTGGGCTCTCTTCCCTCCCACCTGGGAAGGCTTTGAGGGACTCCCTGGGACTAAGGGGGCTCCTGGCCTCACTGTGCCCAGATGGGGGCTGTCCTGGGGCGGGGGGGGGGTTGGGTTCTTGAACCTCCCTCTCCGTAGCCACAGGAGCTTAACAGAAAGCACCTGTGGAGGAGGAGCTGGGATGGTGGAGGCGGCAGGAGGGGCGGGAGGTGTGCAGGGGTGGGGGCACCTACTCAAGGTCTGGAAGATACTGGCGGCTTCCTGGGAGGTGCAGATGGGCTGGAGGTCCTGGGGCAGAGCTGGGTGGTGGCACACAGAGGGCAGGAGGCTCTTGGTTTGCAGGTGAGGGCTGGGCTCCTGCTGCCCCTCCAGGGCACTCAACTTCTTCACCGACTCCAGCTGGACCTCGAAGCCTTGGTACTGGGGGTGGGTGTCGGGGAGATGGGAGGAGGTCAGGCCTTGGACCAGGGCAGGCACTTGACCCCATAGGTCTTCTGGCCCCTTCCCTGTCTTGATGGAAAGTCCAGGACACACGGGAAAGGGCCACCTGGGTGGAGGAAGCAGCCCTTGGCTCCCCACTATGCTGCTGGCCGTGAGGGCCTGGCCAGGTCTACACAGAGCCTTGGAGCGTGCTGGCTCAAGGCATGGATGTCAGAGATGAGGGACCCTGGTTCCAATCCCAGCTGTGTTCTGGACTGGATAACTTTCTCTTCCCACATCTGAGCCTCCGCTCCCTTATCTGACATTCCTTTAGGGATCCTGGTTCTGGGACATAATCACTAACAGGTCACTCTCCTTGAACTCACAGGGCAATAATGCCAACTCCAAGTTAACCAGAGGGACTCACCTTGATGAGGACTGACTGTGTGCTCTGCAGCAGAAGCAGGAGACCCACAGCTGCCCCCAGCAGGTGCCCCAACGCAGTCCTGCTGTCCATCTCTGTCCTTTTGTGTTCTCGCTGCTGCTGCTGTCCCCTGGCTCCCACCGGCTTCCCTGGCTAGCAGTCTTTATAGGCCAAGCTCTAGAGCCCTGGTCACTCATTAACTGGCCATCTGGGGCGGGATTGTCAGAAATTTGGCTCTCTGACAAGCCCAGAGCTGGTTCCCAGGCAGGGGATTGGGGATGATGACCAGGGGACGCCCAGAGCACACAGGAACATGGTGGGGCTGGGTCAGCTGCCTGCCTGGGCAGGGTTCTCTGTGAAGGTCGCAGACCACTGCACTTTCCTCCACTCCTTGGCACCTGCAGGAGTGGAAAGACAGGGGAACCATCTCACAGACGGGGAGAGTAAGGTTCCTGAGATGAAGCAATTTGTCCCAGGTCTCAGACCTAACCAATGGCAGAGAGACTACAGCCAGCCCTTTCTGGCCCACGTCAGCCACAGTTCTTTCTCTGTGAAAGGTGCACAGGGGCAGAAGTGCCAGGACAAGGTGGGCAGATACAGCGCTAATGTCAGGGTGCTCCAGCCCTGACGCCCTCAAAACCCCCACATCTCCCACTCCTCTCCCCAGTCCATTGAAGGACCATCCTTCTGTCCAGGTCTTGCCCAGGCCTCTGCTTGCTGTCTCCTACCTGTGCCTGGTGCCCTTGGCTTCATATGACCCATCTGTCCTGTCCGTCCCTTTCAGAACCCAACAGCCTAACCCAGCATGGAAGAAAGAGCACTGGGCTTGCGGCTCTGTGATCCTGGGAGTCTCATCAAGTCTGACTGAAGCTTCATTTCCTCCTCCATCACGTGGACATAAAAAAAAAAACCCACGACTGAAGGGTGTTATGAGTGCGAGGGGGCTCCAGTCCCCCTGAGTCACCTTCGTGTCCCGGGTAGCACACCTGTAGCAGGTTCCTCACTCTCACAACTACCTTCTAGGCAATGGGTAACTCACTGCCTCAGTGGCCGAAGGTTGGGTCAGAGAGAAGAGGGCAAAGTCTATAAGGGTGATATCACCATGGCCAGCTCAGGTGGCTGTCAAGAGTGGCAGGGCCAGGATTCAGATCTGCCAGGCACCGACTCTGGCATGTGGCAGGTACCCCATGCATGATCTTGGCTCCCATGGCCCATCTTGGATTCCAAGATCCCACTCCAACTTGGTGGCTAAAACCTGCTCTATCTCGCCACCCTGACTGACGTATGCCTAATATCATGGCACGTTTTCACCGATGCAGTCCATTTGCTGGAAATGCCCATCATCTCATTTTTATCTTGGATTGAGATGGAAAACAATCTCTAGTGAACTTTGGAATTTCCTATGTCTTGTTTTGAATGCCAACTTCAGCCTTTATGAATAGACTTGACATGCTTTCATGTCCATAAAATGAAAAGGATCATCAGACAAAAAATAACTTTCATTTCTTGAGGGCTGTGTGCCAGGTGCAATGCTGTAGAACAGCATAATCCCATTTAATCCTATGGGATGGGTGTAACGATTGTCTCCATTTTATAAACAAGTAGCCTGAGGCCTGTGAGGCACCCTGTTTGTTTCTCTGTGGGAATAGGAGGAGTGAACAGTATTTTTTTTTCTTTTCTTTTGTTTGGGAACTTGAACCCAGGGGCACTCGACCACTGAGCCACATCCCCAGCCCTATTTTGTATTTTATTTGGAGACAGGGTCTCACTGAGCTGCTGAGCGCCTTGATTTTGCTGAGACTGGCTTTGAACTCCCAATCCTCCTGCCTCAGCCTCCCAAGCCACAGGGATTACAGGTGTGCACCACAATGCCTGGCTGCAGGTTTTCTATCCAGAGCATTCTTAACCCAGAATCCAGCAGTCATTAGTTATATGACCCTGAACAAGTTACTTAGCATCTCTGAGCCATTGTTTCTTCAACAGGAAAGTAGAAAACATAATGAACCACTCTACCATGGTTGCTAAAAGGAAAAACTGGGTATTCCCTGTTCCAGGGAGCATGTGACTCTCTCTGTCCCCTGACTGACCATTTTCCCAGGAAGCACCTAGCCCACAGGGAACCTACAGTATAGGGTAGTTTCCCTGCCTGTTCTTCTCCATGGAACCCTCTTAGACAAGATGCAGCTGGAACAGTTCTGATCTCTGGCTTCTGCAAGCTGAACTCGAGCATGGGACAAAACCTCTGTGGTCTCAGTTTCTCATTAAAAAAAAAAAATGAGCATCAGAAGTTGTCACGAGACCTCTTGATCACACGCTTTTTCTATCAGCATCAAGGGCTCTGCCACCACATCAGGAGCAACCCTGTGGGTTTTGGAATCCTGTGGCTGTGGCCTCTTTCCTTTCTTTACCTTCTGGGTCCTCCAGTGAGTGTCAGTCTTTCCCTGGGAACAAGGTATGACTTCCTCATCTGCCTGATAGGACTCAAATTCATTTTTCAAAATCCATCTCCTCCTAATCTCTTCATAAATGACCTACCATTCATCAAAATCAACTTGGCCACAGATGCAAACCCTGGCTGTCCCCTCTCCCCCGCCTCCGCCAACCTGCGTCTGCTGACAAGTATTATCAAGGCACTTCCTTCTTTGTGGACGTGGCAATGACGCTCACATCAGCCCACGGAAGCCTCACGTGGATGCTGGTGGGAGAGAGTTTGCCCATGTGCTTTGGCTGCTTCCCTTCCCACACTGGGCCCCTACCCAGCATCTACCACCATGGTACTCCAGAGCCCATGACTCTCCCTGCCTCACTGACCACTCCCCAGCAGCATTTCTCCTAGCTGACCGCTCCAGCTTTCTTGGAATAATGATCTTTCTTCATTTGGCTTCTGGGACCCATGTTTTCTAGCGTTACTGCTTATCTCACGGGCTCCATCTTGTTTCTTCCGTTGGCATTTCCTTCTTTTCTAGGGTTTAGTCCTTGGACCTCTTTCCTCTGTCTGTGGTTACCATCTTGTTTGTGGTCTTATCTGATCTCAAGGAGTTCAATACCATCACTGCCTTTTGGCTCACTAGCCTGATCTCTCCCTGTGGCTCAGGCTCATTTGTCTAACTGCTTCTTTAGTGTCTCCCATCGAGGTCCATGGTGTGCCCATTTACCCAGTTGCTCAGGTGGAAAATCTGGGAAGCATTCTTGATGCTTCTCATTCTTTAATTTACCAAATTCAATTCATCAGCAGATCCAGATCAAAATATTTCTAGACTCCAACCATGTCTCACTACCTCCACCATGGTCCATCATTAGTCTCACAGATTACTAGGACACCCTTGTATTAGAGTTCTCCAGAGAAACAGAATCAACAGGCTCTATCTACCTACCTATCATCTATCTCTCTATCTATCAATCTTTCATCTAATTCACTTAAAAGGAATTTGAAGGCAGTTCTCTGTAGAATTTGTGTGTGTTTGTTTTTGTTTTGTTTTGGTGCTGAGGATGGAACCCAGGGTCATTCTACTACGGAGCTACATCCGCAGCCTTATTTACTTATTTATTTTGAGATAGGGTTTCTCTCAATTGCCCAGACGAGCCTTGAACTTGGGGGCTCATGTGATTGTCAGGGCTGGTCAGCCTGAAATCTATAGGGTAGGTTGGAAGGCTGGAGATTTGGGGAGAGTTGATATTATAGTCTATAGTGAATTCTTTTAATTTTATGTTGTGCCAGCATCTATTTTAAATATAAGTTGGACTTTCTCACACAAGAAGTAGGGTTCCATCACCCTTGGCACAGTCTCTAGTTTTATCTCCTCCGTCCTAGTTCCTCAATGTGATCGATTTGGATTTCTGCCTCATACAACTGCACCCTGGTGAATACTTCCCTGTGGGACAGCTAGATACAGCTTGTTTGACTGGTCCCCCTGACCCTCATGCTCTGCATGGACTGTGCAGATACATCAGAGCAACTACCTGTCAGTCATGGTGTGACTTCCTGGAACTTGTGCCTGTTTGCTTTAAACCCACCAATTAAAACTCCCTATGGGGAACCTGTTTAGATAACACCCAGAACCCAATAAAGATGTTGGCACACTGGTCTCTCTCTCCATGTTCTCCCTGGTCTCCATGCATGTGGTCTCTGGGAATGCCATTTAACCTCCCAGGACCTGTAAATAATAAAATCTCCAAGTCATCTTGTGTTGTCTCTCTTAATCATCGGAGAGATGTTCTCTATCTTAAAGATCCTTCATTCAAACAGATTTGAGTCTGGAATCTGAAGGGTGGGTCAGCAGGTGGAAAACACAGGCAGAGTATCTATGTCACAGTCTTGAGGAAGAATTCCTCCTTTGAGACATTTTTATCTTTGCTCTAAAGACCTTCAACTGACTGGATGAAGCTCACATCTTACGGAGGGCAATCTGCTTTACTCAAAATCTATCGAGTATAAATGTTAATTATATCTAGAAAGATATTCTTGTCAGCAACAGCTAGACTGTTTTTTTTTAACCAAACAACGGGGTACCTTGGCCTGGCCAAGTTGACATGTCAAATTAACCATGACAAACATCCACAGAGATCTCTCTTGTCTTTCTTTAATCCTTTCTCCATGTAGCAGAGAGATTGTATGAAAATCCAAGTCTCTCCCCCGTTTTTATGAATGGCTTCCCCCTATACTCCAAGTAAAAATCACAGGCTTCCAGTTACAATGTACCTTTGGGACCCTCTCTTCATTTTTGACCTCAGCTCCAAAAACTCTGCCTTTCACTCCCATGTCCTCCAAACCTGTCAAAGATTATTTGCCTTGGGGTTTTACTCTTTTCTTATAAACTGGTATGAGTCACCTCCTCATTTCCTCCAGGTTTCTGCTCAAATGCCACTTCCTTTAAGAGATCATTCCTGATCATACTACTTCAGAGAGCTGAGAGCTTCCCTCATGACTCCTAGTTCCCCTCTCTCTCTCTCTCTCTCTCTCTCTCTCTCTCTCTCTCTCTCACACACACACACACCATTTCTGGAGTCTTTCTACTAGAATGCAAGTTCCATTAAAGTTAGAAATTCGCCTATTTTATTCTCCTAAAACAATACCTGGCCCATAATCTGTGTTT